CGTTTTCGTCTTTTGGTTCGTTTATCATAAAAGATTCGTTGATTCTTTTTTGTTTATCATATTGTTTTTGTAGGGCATTTTTATATGCCAAACTAATATCTTGTTTGGTTATTGGTTCATTAATACCTCCACATAACAAACACTTCTTTCTATCACTGAATTTATTACAAATAATACATCTTGCACACTGTCTATGATGGACTGAATTATCTTGGTATTGAAAAACAGGATCTTCTTTAACTATCTCTTCAAGACATCTCCCACACCTTCTTTGAATTGAACTAATATCTTGTAACTTTTTATAGTTAACAGTAAAAATTTCATTTATTATCGGTGATATTGGAATATTAAAATTTAATCTGTTTGTTTCTTCTTCTATAAATTGAAAAAACATTTGAGACTGACTGAAGTGTTTCAAAAAATCCTTAAAAGAAGATGTACTTGATATAAACATTTCTTGAGCAAACTCAAATTTAGATTCATTCTTTTTGAAAAAATGACTGTGTCTCTCCAACATTAACTTATATAGTTGTTTAAATAATTTGATCACATCTTCATCATTAAAGTTTTGTTCATTAGCAATAATAAAATCTAGTTTTGCCATAAAAATTCCCATTGGCATATTAACTAAATAATTTTCTCGAATACACCGTGAAACTTCTTGGTGCTTGTCAATGTCTATAACATGAACATCATCATCTTCACCAAATTCCATCATAAAATTAGCATAAGTACCACGTGTACATCCAATTATACATGGAAGTATTGAACTTAAATATGATGAAAGAAAAAGAGGTAATATTGGAATTAAAATGTGTTGCCACATAAACGGTTGGAGAACATTAAGAAATGCCTGAATAGTTGGATGAATAGTTTCTGGAGTACAACTATGAAAAATAAATCGTTCTTCAAGGAGCATCTTAAATACAATATCAACAAATGTATTAACTCCAAATGCCTTAATTGTTTCAATAACATAATTTGGTTGTTTATTAGTTATTTGGAAGTTACCTAATGTAATAAATGATTTTTTAAGTTCTTTATTTGTTAGCGTCATACATCGCTGAAGAATTAATGGTGGATTTAAAAATTCCTTTATATTTAACATTGCCCTCAATAAATCAAGGAAAAAAGTGTTGTATTCCTTTGTAACAATAATAACAACTTTGGGTGTAGTTGTTGTATATCTTAAATAATAACAATATTCATATTCATGTTCAAAAGTAGTTCGAATACATGAAAACACTTTCGCAGGAATACCACTGATTCCTTCATAGTTTAAATTATTTAACTCTGGGTAAACAAACTGCATATATTCTTTTACGTCATTAGACTGACTAGAAGCAAAAGTTGTTTTATAATTGATGGAACTAACCTGAAATTCAACATAATAACAAGACACTATTGAGATTCTATCATCCTCGTTCATTCTCATAAATTGGAAGAACTAAAAAAAAAAGAAAATATTTTCTTATCGGTTTTTAAAATTAAAATGGAAAAGAAGTAATAAAAAATCAAAAAAATACTCTCTTCTCACTTCTATTTTTTAGATAAGAAAATGTAAAAATAAGAATGAAGAACTAAAAATTTAAAAAAATAGGGAACTTATGTCCCAACAACAGTTAACTAGATTATTACAAGAGAAAGAACGACTAATGAAAAATTTCGAGAGATCAAAGAACCTAATGAAAGTTAGTGAGGCGTGCTCAGATTTAGTTAACTTTACAAAAAGTAAAGTAGACCCATTCAGTCCTGAATTCAAAGATTCGAATCCATGGGATAAAAATAATGAAGGTGGGTGCTGTGCATTGGTGTAAGTTATATTGTCAGAAAAAAATAAATTGGGATAGTTACTTTTGAGTTAATTCGTTTATTTTTGTTCTCATTTTTTACCCTTTTACTACAACAGAACCACCAGTAATTTCTTTTCAATCAGTATTTTAACAAAAGTTTTGTTTTAAATAACACTTTTAAAACATAAGGAATAAAGAGAAATAAGAATTAAAGGGGTTTAAGTTTTAAAGAAGAGAGATGAGAAGAGATAAGAGAGATAGAATTTAATAAAAGGGAAAGATCGCCATTGTCTACGTCAAAGTTAGAGAAATTAGAAAGAAGGGAATTGTAATAAGAGTCCAAGTTTAGATTTGAGGATAAAGGAAGGATAGGAGAGGAAGTGGATAAAGAATTAGCGATTTGAGAAGCACGAGAGATGAGAGAAGAAGGGAGATGAGCCAAACGAGCGGAGTGGATTGCATAAGAGGAGTCAGATATACCATTAACAAGACGATATAAAAAAGTGATAGAGTTATTAGAGTGATTAAGAAGAA